TAAAATACTGAAAACTATATATCTTTATTTAACATCAAGCACAAAGTTCTGAACCTCAAAATTGGTGACTTGGTGACTAAATTTTACTATAGTTTTTTATCATAGCAACAAAAAAATCCAAACTCTAAAAATAATGACTGAACTTTAGAAAGCTAAGTATCAGAATGTAATGGCTTCAATCGATTTTATAAATTTTTCGACTTAAGGAATGAGCTGCGCTAAATCTTTTTTTTTAATGTACCTAGGTGTCGTCTTAGTACATTTACCATATAGTACGGTTCGTATATGACTTTTTTGTCGAAAATGAGTTTTTATATAGATATGTTAATCATATTATTGAAATTAAACATTAGTTATAGAAAAATTATTTAAAATTAATTATTTATTTATTTGTACAATATTTAAAATTGTCTCAAAGATTTAAAGAATTACCGGATATTCATTTATAATAGCTTACTTAAGGATTTTAAATATCTGCAAACTACTTATCGGTATTACATTATCTTTTCTAGATACTGTAATTTCGTTTAACATAATGTCAGTAATTCAAAATTTCTGAGTGAGAAAAACTACAACAACTAAAATTGGCAGACACTCTTTCTTCTTCTTGTTTTTTCTTTTCTTTATTCTTATAAGTAGGTTAGCATTATTCTCCTGCCCTAACATTTTTGCGCATGCATAAGTAAAGCTTTGAGTACATGCATAAGTAAGCAGAGTAATATTTAATAAGGAACGACAAGTCGTGCATATTAGTACGATCTTGTGGCTAAAATAGATGTTGTATCGTTGTTGCAATCCAATATAGATACATATATATATATATATATATTATCCAATATATATATGTATATGTTATCTGTGCTAAGCACGATAGTAGTATATAATACTGTCCTGTTATAACGACACACTTTTAATACGGCAGAATAATAATTGTTTAAAATAGCAAAATAAATTATAAATTTTAATAAAAATGTATTGTATTTAAACTCTTTACTTATCTCAGCAATTATATATTATTAATTAAAGTAGTCTAATATTCATTGTACAAAAATATAGATCCATAAAAAACCATTTCAAAAAAAAATTGATTTAAAAAAAAATATCTTTAACCCTTCTATTATAAATGTTCACAAATAACACGATTGGGTTAATTGAAATTAAAATCCTATATGTAAAATAAAAAAAAAAATATTATTTGAAACTTACCGGTACACTGAAATTCGAAGTGAATGTAATTTAATTGCATATAAAACGAATTAATCATTTTTTTTATATTAATTACAACATTAATAATTATGCACACACGTTTTCGTAATTTTTACAACAACAAAAATATTTTCTATTTTGTTTTACGCAAAACAAACAATTTAATTGTGAAAAAAATGCACTGCACTGAAGAATTATTGACTAAACAGAATATCAAAAACGTAACTGTTTTTCCGCCGACAAACAACTTAAAATGAACTTGAACCGCACAAAATTAAAACTTTATTTTTAAACTAAAGAACTATTAAACACTATTATTATATTAATGAATTTATATTAATTATATTTCAAATAAAAATTCAAACTCAAAACTAAAAATTTTCAAAAAAATATAATTTTCGCACTTTTCGACTACCCACTGTCCGTCCACTTCACGAAAAATCGCGCAACTAATGTGATCAAAGCCTAAATCACACCCTCTCTCTTTATGCGCTTTTTATTGATGATTGAAATCATATCAGCAAGTAACGGATTCGTTGCGTAAATCTTTACAACAACAAGTTTGGTTCATGCATAACAATTTGTTATGCAGTGTTGCATTTTTTACGAAATATAAAATTATAAAATATCTTTCATAAGTAATGAAGCATTAAAGTTTTTATTAATAAACATTAATTAATAAATAAATAGTATGGAGTTTATTCATTTATTCTTCTGTTAGTAAACTACTGTATAAGTTTGTAAATATAAAACAAAAGTGTTATAAGTATAAATATTTGTGAATATAACAAGTACTTAGTCGATAATGCAAGTGTGTATGTTTGTGTCGAAAAGGCAGAACAATTTTCCCAATAAGACTACTTAAAGACCGTTTCGTTAGGGCCTACTGTAATTAGATTCACAACATGGGAGTAATCGACCGAAAGTAGTTTCGGAATGTTGATTTCAGTAATATATGTCAGTTATATTTTCCCTCTACCTCCACCATCTTTTTCTGCAATTTTCACCAAATAAAATGCAAATACATACATACATATATAAAAAGGCAGTAGTTGCAATTGATAAGTTAAGCTGTTAAGCGAAATAAATAGACACAACAATTTTCAAAATTGTATAAAACTTTTGATTTAATGTGTATTTAAATTTAAATTTTATAAATAAATTAATTAAATAAATTTACTTTAAATACATAAATGCGTGTTTAGATATTTCAATAATTATATGGAATTATATATTATATGGATATATACATACATAAAAAAATAAACTGTCTAGTCCCTGAACTGTATAAATTACTCTTGAACTAGTCCAAATGTACCAATTTATACACAAAAAGAATTAAAGTACTCACCGTATGCTAACCGGTTCACACAAGTCATTTTGAGAGTAGTTAAAACTTAAGCAGAAAGAGACAATAAGCTCATTTATCGGACCACTTATTTTTATATAAAAATCGCTAATGTAGGTGTACCGCTTGTAAGCTGTCTGGTCTTAGAATACATTTTCTTAAGCTTTTTGTTTCTGTACTTAAGTATAAAGCATACTAATTGTTTTTATATCAAAAGGACCAGTATGTGTTTACTTCTTGTATTTTAAGAACTTTTACGACTCCTTTAGTTTTGTTAAACTTATAGAATCTATAGTCTAATATTTTCTTATATACCTGTACTGCATAACAAAAAAATAAACGTTTTAATTTCTATATTACGTTTTTAAAGCATTAGCATCTGTGGCACTAATAAATTTCGGAGTGTGATGAGAAGCACATGTAATGATTTTTATGCAAACAAAAAGTCAATTATGAAAATAACATAGAAAGGGGCTCTTGCTTTCTATAAAATTTTGTGACTATACATTCATTTAGTTTCACATTGTCACCCACGTGTTCATCGTTACTAACGAAAGTACCAACCAAGTTTGAACAATCGGTATATGCAGTGGATCACTAATTTATCGTGCAGTGCCATTCTAAATCTGTCATTTCCATGCTACTAATTTTCATGCACACCTAACTGATTTTTGGGCACTCAAATTGACTGCATTATGATGCATCATGACGATGATATAGCACCTGTCCGTTTACAGTAAACATTTTTATGGATTAATGATACTGTCTAACAAGAATGGTTTAATTTTTGAAAACAAGCTCATTACTTTGAAAGTGTGGTGCATTGTTGGAAAAACTGTTTGTTGTTGTGGTCTTCGATTTGTGAAAATTTCTGTCCATTAAAAAGGTGGAAAATGAGTGCAGTGATTTAAAACGTGGATGAAAAAATATTTTTATTTGGGGCTATGTAAAATTTAAAATCGAAAATGTGTGATAGTTAACGTTAATTGCAAGCTGTTAGATTTGAGATATGTACGTGACACAGCAAGCTATGCAAATATATAATGGATTTGAGCCTATTCTGACGTAAGCGTGATGTAAGTCTACCAAAATTGATGCTTATGTATTATAGAATACTCGATTTATTATCATTTTCGTTATTTAATAAATGAATAAAATAAAAACAATAAAAAAATTATTTAAATATTGATTACAAATGAAAGTTTACATATTTAACAAAAAGTTAAATATTTGATTCATTATTTGTATATAATAGGTCTGTTCCACGAACTACGCGTAGTAAAACTCAAGTAAAACAGAAGTAAAATTTACACGAAAATTTGCTGGTGGAATGCACTTGTGTATGCACAGTGTTACTCAAAGTTACTACGAGTAGCTCGTGGAACTGACCTAATAAAAGCCAATCGTTTATTGAATATATTTCATCAAGTAGGGTTTACATACTCTGTCTTTGGCTTATCTTCTGCTTTTTTCGGACATATGTATGTAAAATTATGGACTAAACTAAGAAAGTTAAAGGAACGCTTAATAAAATAAAAGAAGAGCCAGTGGTTTTTTGAGCAAACTGTGGTTCATAAGCTTACTGGAATACCAACAGAGCATTAGCTACAGCTTAAACAGTTCAACTTTAACACATTTTGACAAGTGGGCTATGCTATTTAACATTTTCTGTATCATTATCCTAGAGTCCAAGCAAATCGACTTCTATATCTAAAGGACCGCATCTTGAAGGAACTAAAAGTAAACTTATAAGAGCTCCTTAAATTCATATAGTGAACCAAATAGTTTACCCAGTATAGTAGATGAAGTTAACGGATTTGCAGCTAATTCAAGATGCCTTGACCTCTATTCCCATCGTTCACCTACCCATCTGATATTACAATATAATAATACTCGGTCAACATATCGAAAAGGTCAGAACAACAAAATTATTTTATTTTTAAAAGTAAAATTGTCCATTTAATGCTATTTGATAGCGCCAAAATTTTCTTAACCTTTATATTACAATTCATTTATAAAATTCACTAATAATATTTATTAGTATTATATCATAGTATCAAATAATATCTAATATCATATTTTTGATTTCATCTAAAAGAATATAAAATAATAAACATTAATTTAAATAGAAGGTATCAAGCTCAGCTATCGAGCATGTTGGTAAGGGCAAGTAGAACATTATTTCTTAACCTATGATCATAATTTCTTAACCTTTGTTGTGTGTTACTTTTGATATCGATAACAATAGCTATCGGTTTCTTTAGTACTTTACTGACTTAAGACGCTTTTTCCAATATACAGTAAATTAATTTATTAAAATTTTATAAAATAAATTAAATTAAATTAGTTGTTTGATATATTTACACGTTTAAAGAATGTATTTATTGTTCTAGAAAGCTATTTAATTATATTATGGTTGATATATACCTAATAAAAAAAGTGTTAAATTTTTTTTATGAACTCTATTGCAGATGGACAATAAGAAAATTGCTATTATTACGGATGAACAAGTTGGTACACGAACTGAACGCAAAGAGGTTTGAAAATCAATTTGTTTAACAATTTTAGTTTAACTTTTCGATTTTACTTCAGAAGCCCAAAATACTTTTTGATCCTTCAGAGCTTACGCTTCACCTTAAGCGTGCTCCAATAGATAAACGTCGCTATTCAGCATTCCCTGTTATGAGGCAAAACGTGGTTTTATCAACAGAAAGTGACGCTAACAAGCATATACAAAACGTAGTTTCATCAACAATAGGTAGTGACGTTAACAAGCATATGGAAAACGTGGTTTTACCAACAAAAAGTAGTGACGCTAATGTAGCCAGTTGTTACGTTTGTAACAGCCCTGAAATAAAACTGGATCAAATGATATCGTGCGCCTTGTGTGATAAAACAGGTAATATAAAAAGGTTGAGTTTTATTGATGTAAGAAAGATCTTAAATACTATAAAATATATATTATTTATTTCATTTTAGTTCATGCATTGTGCTTAGAAATTGATTTTGAAGATCCAGAAAATCTTAAAAAAAATTTCAAATGTGAATCTTGTCGTAAATGTGAAATTTGCCACACCCTTTCAGGAAGTGCAAGTACCGGCAGTCCTACGACTGTAAGTATAGATTCTTAAAATCACTTTTTTTATCAAATTAATTACAATTATCTTTGAAGGTTGATTTGTTAACATGCATTAAATGCATTAATTACTACCATTCCGTTTGTCACATTCCAAACGTAGATTCTTCTGACAACACCAAATGTTGGAAGTGTTATAAGTGTATGTTACCAACTATTGGCAGTAAACTAAGGATATTACTTAAAAGGAAACCTATAAAGCCAGTGTCGAGTATAACAGAACCATATCCCAAAGTTATTAAACAAGGTGAAAATAAAAAACAAATACCTCATAGTTGGACTAAAGTACATCTAGATGCAGATTGGGTAAACAATGAAAAAAACAAGGATGAAGAGAGCGTTAATAAGCAACTTGTAGAAATACCGGGCATATATAGTGCTACTGAGATCACACAAATTGATTATATAAAAAAATGGAGTGTTGAACAGGTAACAGCTTATTTCTCCAACTGGTTTCCTAGGGAAGCAAGTGTTTTTCAAGATTATAAAATCGATGGACCAACACTTCTTTTACTTAAGAGAAACGATGTTGTTGGTAGATTGGGTTTAAAGTTGGGCCCTTCTCTTAAAATATTTAACTTAATATTAAAACTACAAAATAACTGGAATGAAAAAATATAAACGAAAAAATTTATTAATTTATTTTATTAATAAAAATTTGTTCTTTACTGCAATTATAATATGTAATTGTAAACTGCAAAGAAAATTAAAAATAAAATTGATTTATCATCTTAAAAAAGTAACAAAGTCTGTTTCTTGTCACAAAAAGAAATTAGTAAACCTATTGAAGTTACTATAATCTATAGCCCACGACCGATTGCTTTGTTAGTAGGCAAAGTTCCGTCAAATTTTTGAATTTGAGGGAATTGTGAGCAGAATAAATGTATTTCAAACAGTGCTATTAATGTATGGTTTAAGATGGTAGTCTGCGGTACATGATGGGAATCTGTGGTTTATATTAGTAGTTTGTGGTCTACAATGGTAGTCTGTGATTTGTGATAGTAATTTGAAATTTATAATACGGTGGTAGTTAAGGTGAGATAAATTTATTAAAGAGAAATTGAAATACAATTTTGAATTGAAAAGAGATGTATGTATACAGCTTGAGTGCTTAATCTGTATTCAAAATTTTTAAAATATGAGGTTGTGTCAAACTACAATTACTAGCTACGGTATTCCATATAACTGGACTACAGTAAGAGTCGTTCTCTCAACTATTGTAGCAAGAGACTAATTAAGTCAGTAATTATAATATTACGAATTTAAACTAGAAATAATGACAGTGTTTTATTTTTATAACAAATATTATTTTAATGAAAGAAATTGACAAGAAGTTTTATGAAAATGAAAAATACTTATGTATTTGATGTAGAAACTATACGAAAAACCTTATAAAAAAAGACATGTTAAAGATACCGCAAAATCTCAATAAATATGCTCGAGTATTGCAGATAATGCCGTGCTTACGTGTCATAGTCCCTTGTGAAACTTTTCTGCTCCTAAAATTATCACTTGGAGTAATTTTTGAATTAATTATTCCAGTTAAGTATTTTACACAAACCAATCAATGAAAATTGCATAAAATATTGGGCTTAGCGCTTTCATAGCTATAGTATGACAGGGTCTACTTTCAAGTTGAAATAATATATTTTGATTGATTAATTATTTCTTTGTGTGTTTTCTTAAACGTTCCTTTTCTTTAATGAAGGTAAGTAGTGGTTGATTATATTATTTGGTTTTAAGTAATCAGTACATAATCTTATGAAATCATGTGCGCATAATGAGGAAGGAAGTATAGAAATTTAGTGAATCAAATTGTGACTGCATATTCAGCCGTAACCCTTTTGCTTTCCTTAAAAAAAAATAATAATTAATTAATGAAACTGTTCGCAGTTCTTTTTATTAAGCAATTAAGACAACAATTTCTTCTTTTATTATTTTCATAAACAAAAACGCTACAGCTTTATTCATTTTAAAAATACATTGTAGTACTAAATCATATGTAAGTTACTAGATATATATACGTAAACATATATTTGGAATTAATAATTTTAATATACATTTTATTAATTATATTAATTATAATATATTAATATTTAGTCTAAATTTTTTTTTTTTTTTTGAAAACTTTTTTTTGAAATATACACATTTTTATCAGAATATGCATGTGTAATAAATATTTTATTAAATGTAACTAAATTTCTTTAATTCGGAAACATCTTTAAACTGACATAATTTTAATCACTTTTTAAAAATATTTTTCCTAACATCTGCGTACCCTTAAATCGTATCTAGAGCGTTAAAATTACTGCCTAAGTACTTTTGAAAAAATAACATATTTAATTAAAATTCATACTTTTAGAATTTTAATTAAGACAGAATGTTGAATACCCTTTACACAATTCTAAATAAAGTGTATGTTAGATTTATTAAAATACTTGTAACGTCATAAAAAGGCTTTGGAAATAATAGTAATAATCATATATATTTTTGAATCACATTTTAGGATGATTTAATATGTCTTCGCAATTCAACTAGCCTCTCAGTTTTTGAGAAACTAGAATAAGACTGCGGACATGCATTTTTGTGAATCTATTCAGATGGAATTTGACAATGAATAGGATTAATTGAAAAATAAAAAATAAAATATTTAAATAATTTGTATATTTATAAAATAATTAATATAAAGAGGTTTTCGAACAGAAGTGAAACAACAACAACAAAAATTTATTTTTTTTAAATTATTTTAATTAATTGTATTTTTGGCTGACCATACAGCTGTTTCGAGTATTGCCAAATACCTTTCATCAGTGGTCTTGGAAATAATTCTTATATTTAATTATTCGTAAATAATTATTTTTGAGACTGCAAGTACCAGGAATCGAACTCGGGTCCTGCCAAATATGAAACTCAGAATCAGCGCACCTTAACCAACTGATCCAAAATAGTTAGTAAATTAATTGTAATGTAACTACATGTATCATAATAAAGGATATTGAAGATCCGGTAATGACCAGGTGTTATTTTTTGTTGCAAAGATGCAATTTTAAAGTGAAGTCTGCTGTAGGTTTTTGACTTCTCTCTATAAAATTATAAGGTTTAGACTAAATGTGTAAGTAGGTATAAATATAACCCAGGAATAGGTTTTATGATTAGGAGAACTGTTCGCTTAAAAGAATATACTTTTAACAAGTACTTTTTTGACTCAGTAGTATATGCATTGAACTAGTATATAATCCCTTCTATGAATAGTATACGTGATCAATACTTCTCTATGCTAAAGAGACCTGGTTGGTAAAAATGACTGCTATAAAAATTCTGCAAGCTTTCCAAATGTTGATATATAGAAATACCCTAAAAGTTCAGTGAGTAAAATACATTGGAAATAAAGTGATATGTAGATTGGACAAAAACGAGCAATTCAAAAGATAGTTTAATGAATTAAAATACAGCTATTATAGCTAATAGGCTATGTATCAAGTTCTTATTCCTTTCTCATCTAATTTTATCTAATTCCATAGTCTTATTTAAATTTAAATTTAACAAAACAAAAATTTTCTCTAGTGTGAATTTCTATTAATACAATTTTCCAGCAAATAAATTTAAAATATATAATAAACAAAATGTATTTTATTCCAATTTTTTTTTTGCTATAAAAACAAATTTATTTAAGAATAATTGAAAAATTGTTTTCCATACAAAATTTGTGAATGTTTTAATGAAATGCATTTATAATTCAGAAAAACATCCATTCTCTCCATAAAAACAAGAATTTCCATTTTATGCAATTTTCTGCTGGATAAAGTGAATCATTCACAAAACAAACGTGGGAATAAAATTGTTTATGGTTTAACACATGTTTTCAAATTTTTAAGATAAATTAAATAAAATATTCTGTTATCAGATAAAATATACTGTATGAATATATATGTATGTATTTGAAAGGTGAAGTTATGCCATAAAATATGTTTCACATTGTAATTAGAGCAGGAAAATATTTGGACTGAATATTCAAGTTTATCAAATGGTGATATTTCTCCTAAATATTTTTTTTCATTAAATTATATATAAAATTGTTGTGCAGTTCTAATTTTAAATAATATATTTGTTTCTAAGAATCTGTGTTGTGTTGTATATATATGAATATTTAGGTATAAGTTGACAAATGGTATACATCCATTCATTTTATTTGAAATTTATGGGAAATTAAAAAGGTGCCAAGAAGAATTACAGCTATTTTGTTTTTTGATATAGTCCAATATACTTTTAAACCAATATGGAGTTGAATACAATTGTGTTTAGTTAGAGTTGATTAAAAATAAATAAAGTAATTTAAAAAACTTTATATTTGTTTTTACTTATGCCTCCATACATTATTGGCAATTGATTTGATTTGAAAATTTTTAAAGATAAATCGGCTGTGAGAGTTTAAAAATGATTATTATAATCATTTTATTATAATTTATAAAACTTTTTAATAATTTTATTTTTCATCAACACTGCATAACAGACTAAAATGCATAAACCAGACTTGCTGTAGTGGAGATTAACCCAACGGACCCGTTACTTGCTGATATGATTTTGATGAGCCAAGAGATATGCATGAAGGGAGGGTGTGCTTTAGGCTTTAGGCTTTAATCGTAACTTCAGTTGCGTGATTTTTAGTAAAGTGCACGGACAGCGGGTATCCGAAAAATGAGAGAATTTAATTTTTTTGAAAGTTTTTAGTGTTGAGTAGTTTGTATTCTTATTTGAAATATAATTAATAATTAGTATAAATTCATTAATATAATAATAGTATTTAATAGTTATTTAATTTAAATTTGTTTAAAAATCATGTTTCTAATATTGTGCGGTTCAAGTTTACTTTACGTTGTTTGTCGGCGAAAAACAGTTACGTTTTTAATATTCTTTTTAGTCGATAATTCTTCAGTGCAGTGCATTTTTTTCGCAATTAAATTGTTTGTTTTGCATTAAACAAAACAGTAAATGTGTTTTTGTTATTGTAGAAAATATAACAACAAAAGTGTTATTGTTTTAACTAATATTATAGAAATATTATTAACTGGTTTCATATGCAATTAAATCACATTGTCTTGAAATTTCAATGCACAGGTAAGTTTGAAAATATATTTATTATTTCTCACATATGGAATTTTAATTTTTTTTAAAACCACATATATATATAAATTATAACTATTTAGTTTAGTCGAAAAATTTTAAATTATTATTAATAAATCGGTATTTCAGTACAATGATTGTGAAACCATTATTTAATAAATTTATTATTATGATATATTGTAAGTGATGAGATAAATTTTTTTATATTGAATTACTAAATTATTTTAATTTCTTGACAATTTATCTGATTAAATATGTATAAAAAGTAAACCAAAAAATTTCAAACAGAGGAAGTATATCATATTTGGGTTTTATTAGCAGATAAATATAAAATCGTCAACAGCATATAAAAAGTTTTAAACCGTACTCTTTGTTTCTAAATTTGATTTCTTAAATCAAGCAGAGCTTTACTTACAACCAAATATTTATTAAATTTATTTTTTAGTGATTTTACATCAATACTACGAATACTTCAATATATTGCTTATAAACTATTCACC